GTCTTTAAATTAAATCCTCATGTTAGTTAAAACCTAACTTTGCTATTACTTCAGTGCCTTAAAGAACTTTAAATTCGTCCGTATACTCGAAAACTTTGTAGAAAGTAATAAAATATTAATTCAGAAAGTTTTCTATTTACTTAAGAGTCGAAACAGAATATCCACTCATAATTACATTAACTTAGCACATGAATGTGGTGGAAAAGAACGTTTTCATAAATATTTCTCTATATTTAATGTTTGAAAAAAGCTGGTTTAGAAACCAACACGTGCTATATTCATCGTACACAAAACATGCATAAACGCAAACATTTTACCCCGAATCTCTGAAATGATGAAGAATAAAAAATGTGTATTTTTTTACATCTAGCGTATGCTTGGTATTCCAGCGTTGTTTTAAAAAAAGCTTTTTTGTAAACAGATCTGGCTGGTAAAATAAAAAGCGTTTTTGGAAATATGAATTTTATAGATTCTGTGAAAAATTTGATTGATAAAAAAAAAGTTGATTGTAAAAATAAGACTTTTAAAAATTTATGGATTATTCAGATATTGGACTTAGGAATATTTAATATATAAAATTCGCGTTTTTGTAAAATCTAAAGGCCATTTAAAAAAAAAATACTATAAAATGGTTTAAAGAGATTTATAACAATTAATTTGATTGTAAATGTAATATTTTATTCTCTGTTATAATAACCGATTAAATTTTAACTTTCAGTACTAATATTTAAAAATATGGCATCTTCTCAAAAGCGGATTTTGCGAATTTGATGAAACTTGGCACACATTGTTATTATAGTTTACCAATATTGTGACAATTTGAATTGGTTCATGCAATAGTTTTCGAGATATACGAGATTTTTTAACAACGGATCTTGTCCGGTATTGGCGATTACGGACCAACGCACTCTGACCTGAAACTAGCGTAGTTTTAGGTTGAGAGCACATTTGGCCTACGGAATATTTAAACAGATGCACCATGGTATATTCTCAAAAGCGGATTTTGAGATTTTGATGAAACTTGGCGCACATTGTTATTATATTTTACCAAGATTGTGACAAAAATTTCGAATTGGTTCATGCAATAGTTTTTGAGATATGCGAGATTGATTAACAACTGAACTTGCCCGGTATTGGCGATTAGGGACGAACGCACTCTGACCTGAAACTAGCTTAGTTTTAGGTTGGGAGCACATTTGGCCTAACGAATATTTAATTATTTTGAATTAATACTTTGTTGTAAACTGAATTTATAGAGTCAACGTATGGCGTTCAAGTTAAGGTCGTTTTTGAGAAAACAAGAACTCAAACTTTTTCCAAATTTGGATCAAACAGTACAGAATGACTTTAAACATCAAAGAAAATGAATAAAGGATTTTCTGCCGAAAACCAACTTCACCTTCGAAAAGTTAACAACAACGTAATACTTTGTCTAACAATAATTAATATGAGTAAGTTCTTGTGGGGCGATACATCAAAGAATAAAAAGCAAAGATTTATAAATTAATCTTTAATTCCAAACGTTTCGACATTTAATTTAATGTCATCATCAGTGGATATTAACGTTAGTAGGTTACATCTAGAAAAGTGTGCACAACACTGGAAATCAGCACTAACATTTATACAACTAACTTGACAACGCCATGCATTTTTTATAATTTTTTGTATGATGTAAAAAGAAAAATGATAGTTTTATTTGAACAAAAATGTGAGTAAAGTTAGGTAATTTCTGCCACGACTTCTGTACTTTGCGAGTTCCGAGGCTTATCTCTAATAAGCTAATAATTAATATATATGAGTGAATAGTTAATTATTAATACTGAATATTTATGTTAATCCACGATAATAATATGTAATCTTTTTGAACCGATCCCACGTACAATATGCAATTCAAATAATTTTGTTTAAATGTTATCAAGTCCTAATGTTTGGAAACATATCCATTCTCATGCATATAATATTCATTTATGTTTTTCACATGCGAGTCAAAAACAGGTGTTTGCTTTATGTGCTATTTTTAGTGACGTCGTTTCTGTGGTAATTTGAGACTTTAAACCCTCGAAAAATCTTGCTACCAGTCTGATTTCTCAGCCGGTGCAGGAGGCATTTAAATACGAAAAAAGATTCCAAAATACGAAATCCAAAACCCTCTAATACATGTTATATAACTTACGGGGTTGATGTTTTCTCACGCCTACTTATTTCATTCGGACAATAAAGAGAAATTGGTTCAAGTCATGTAATTTTATTTGTGAGAACATGTTTTCTTGGCCGGCTTATTATGTTTCGCTTATTGACCACATGGATTATTATTATACACTTTGGGATAACAATCTTTTACTTTAGATACATTGGATTTTATAAGAAAGAAGCAGGGGATGGGATTTACAGGTAATTTTGTGAAAAGTGCGAACATATGTTACTTGAATACAAAATCGTGAAGAGGATGTGTTTTATCAATTATAATTTCAGATATATTATTACTCAAGATATTTTAATTCACAATTACGATTGCGTATTGTAAAGTAATTATATTTCTAAAACCTTTTTACTTTGACTCTATAATTACCTTACAAGAATACTAGAAACTATATACTAGAAACAACATTAAACATGTCTCTATTTTATATTTTTTTAAATACATTTGTTATTTTTAATATAAGTATACATATTTTATCTCACATACTGGAATGCGAATACAGATGCATTTAAAAAAATATTACCATGTAAAATTATATTATTTAAAAACTGGCTAAATTAACTAATGATAAGAAAAATGCGTCTGACAATGTATTATTTATTATTACAATATATTTATTTCAAATGTATTGTGCATATCAAATAATATTTGCCAAAAGATTTGAAACATTAAATGTTTTAAGAACAATTATAAGAAATTATATATTTTTAGATAAAATTGTTCGCATTATTTGTGTCCCCAAAAAAAGAAAATTGCCCAATTTGTTTTGTTGATTTCACTAATTTAAATTTAAGTTTATTTTATCAAACTGAAAATCGAAAAAATGTGATTAAATAAGTTATGAACATATTAAAAAATGGCTCTAAGTGAAGATTTACTGGAAAAAAATCTTCTTTAATATATTGTTCATATTACACAAATACATTGTGTATATCATGTAATAATTGATGTATCAAAAATATTAAAATTAAATCTCATTTTTGAAAATATAAAGAAAATTGTACACAGTAAAAACATTTTGAAAATGCATTATATGAAAATTAGTCAGACCTTTTATGTTAGTACATCATTTTTCGATTACATCTTATCACAAATGATAATATTTTAATCATTTTCCAATCGAAGTATCAAATTGATGGGGGCTTGTTTTATTTTTAAAAATAAAATTGATAAAATTTCATATCATTTGATAAACAAACATGACGATTGATATCTGTGAAATTTTGTTCCCATATAAAACGGAGCGCATAATTAAAGAAAGAATTAATTACTATGATTATACAATTATATAATTGTTTTGGTAATTTGATTATCAGAATTTTGATTTAGCAGCGATGCAATAATTCAAAAGAAAACATTTTTGAAAGTTACATAATCTTATTTTTAATGAGATTGTTTGGAATTAAATTATCTCTAAAATGTGAATGAATGAAATTATCTGTAAGTGCTTGGGTGGAGATATAGAGTAATAAATGAATATATTTACTTTGTAAATTATTTGATAAAACTAATATTGTAATATGTAATAGTCATCTCTATTTTTTTGAGGAGTCAATCGCATGATTTTTTTTTTTGAATACGATAAAGGAAGACTAAAGTATTGATTTGCTCAAATGATATTTTAAAAAACACATTTCCTAAAATTTATTTTAAGTTTCTTCTTCATGTTGTAATCAAAAACTTTTGAACTATATTCTAATTTCACTGAATTCATAAGAAACGCATCATTTAAATACAACTCAAAGAACCGAAGGTCTAAAATTACCATATGCAACAGAAAAAAATCATGTTTCAAAAAACTTTGTTCAAAGAAGCATATTTTCTTTGGATTAAATTTCTTGAATGAAAAATAATTACAATTTTATATTGAATTCAGGTCTAAATTTGTGTATTTGTGGTATAACGGTTATCAATTGTGGGGCCCCCATGATGAGGCTTTGTTTTGTGAGCAACAGGTACTGGATTTTTGGAAAACACATAATATAAATTTTCCAGGTATGTACCATTCATGAAACCAAATTTTATGAATCAGATTATTTTATTACTCTGATATTAATTATAAAAGAAAATTAATATAAAATAATGAGCAATCGTACCATTGAAAAATTTGAGAAGCGTTTTGAGATACTGTTTTATGAAACTAAGCAAAATCATACAGTTTATATACAATTTGATATATATATATATATATATATATATATATATATATATATATTAATAATATATAATATATTAAATATATATATATATATATATATATATATATATATTATAAATAAACAAAGTTATAGAGCATGAGAATTATGCATATTATTCAACTAAATTTTCAGGTATAAATTGAATTTGATTTCTAAAGGTATTCTAAATAAATTATAGAGACAACAAAAACTAAGTACAGCTTAATAATAAGTTTTGACCAAAGTTTCATATTGATTTGATTCATATCAAATAATTTAATAAAATTGAAATGTTGTATTAAATAAGAACTAAATTAAATGAAGCTTCGTTATATTATAAAAAGTGGTTAAGTGTCTTTTAATATAATAGACAACAAAAATAATCTATCTCTATGAGAGTGCAACTTTGAGTAGATATTTATAGAGTCAGTCGCATAAATGCATATTTCTCAACAAAATGTGTATAATTCTTAATAATATGTACAAATTTTCATAAATATTAGTTATTTTATTACAAATACTAGTTCATTTCCCGTCAATGAAACTCATCAAAGAAGAGCATTGTTTACGTTACGAGCTTGTCAAAATCTAACTACTACAAAAATAATTTTTATTCCACTTACCAAATTAATAATCCAATGATAATATTCACACTAAATTGAGTAGATACATTAATTGCACAATAAACAATAAAAAAGTTAATAATAAAAGCAATAATTAACACTAAATAACACTTAACACGATTTTATCACATTGACCATACGTAAGTTGTTGAGCTTCGTTTTAGTTTCCATTCATGAATGTTCATTCATCGCTTTGTAGTATTCTATTTTTTCGTCAGTGCACGTAGTACTCACCATAGAGTCGCGGCGCCACTAGTTTGGGAATATAGAGAAGTAGAGAACTGTCAAAGACAGGTTAGCCACTACATTAATTTCGTCCATCATTTGAATATCGCCTGATTGATTTGCATGAAATGAATTGTAATGAATTCACTAGATTCTATAGATAAATTCTTTATTGAATCAGATTAATACTTACAATTCTTTTTATAATGAAAAATTAATTCTTTGTCCCATCAAGTACTTTGAAGCAAAAGCATTACTGGGTTTAAATAACTGTCAATGAATTGATAATTATTGATGTGCTTCGAATAACATACATACAAGTTTCTACTATTACAATGCTTTTAGAATGAATTGAGTTTAAAATTAATAAGAACTTTATATATGTTTCACAAACAAGTATTTATTTATTAACAATAATTTCACTGACTTTTTATTTTATAGTGTTATGGATTCTTTCACTGTTGCAAGTATACAGACTTTGAAGAAAAATAATTGTTCGGGATGGTATCATAATTGTCCCTGTACTTCAGAGATAATGAGACAAGTTCTGATACACATATTAATAGAAGTATGCATTTATGCTGATTTACAAATGCTGAAACCTTTAAAAATGTAAATATAGGTAACTATATAATTTTGGCATGTACTACAAAATGAGAATGAAGAATTATATTATAAGAGAAAAAAACTTCAAGCTTTCAGATACGTTTATACAATCTTGTGGAGACGTGATTTGTTTAAAATTTAATATTTAAAATAGTATAATTACAAGCATTTAAATAATTTGATACTGAATGATCTGAATAAGTATAATTTTTTATAATAATAAAGTAATTTATAGAAACTTTACAGCAAAAAATATGAGTGGTTTGATTATTACTATTACTTTTTTATATGATATAGTTTATTATTTAATTAATTTTGCTAATAATATAACACATCATTATTCATTATTACGACCTAAATATTTTCATTATAGGAACTTCCAAGAATCCAGAATGATGTGTCTATCCAGATTTTTCCTGTCTGCGATGGATCATGCTGTGCATTTTCTGAGCTTAGAACTTACGATGGATCGCCTCCAACGCAGACTATAGGAGTACCTTTAACTGGAACTAACCTACGAAGCACAATTAAGGAAGATGAAATATCTGAGCATGAACATTTTAATGATAAAGAATAAGTTTTAAATACATTTTAATTATATTTTGATAAATATACTTTAAAGCAAATTAAAGTTGTCTGTGCCAGCAATAATATTCTTAATACAATTAATTACTAATACAATTAATTATTTTATTATTACTTCATTTTTTCCATTATAGGAGATCCCAAATTTTTAACCCTGAACCTCATGCTTGTTTATCTATTATCCTGAGTATCTTTTAACTTTAATCCTTGCAGTGGACCACTTCCAACGCAGACTTTAGAAGTACCCTTAACTGGATCTTTTACAGTTTCACAGTTACAGTTTCACACCTATTAATGATATAGATTTGAAACAATCTGTCGACATCGTGAATAAGTAATAAGGAAGTTGAAATATCTGAGAATGAATATTATAATGATGTAAAAAGCAAGTTGCCTTTGTAACTTTGAGAAAAAGTGAAACGACAGCCTAAATGTTTAAAGACTAGCTTTAGTTACATATGATATTCTTCGTATTGTCTTTTTATTAAATCAAGTATTTCATGTGAATGATCTTTATAGAATGATGTGCAATGCAATGCAATTTTTTCAGTTCGTTTTATGTATAAGATTGAATATGATATATTAAAATAATTTCATAAACAATTTTAACTGAAAAAAAAAATTTCAAGCAAATTTATTAACTTTTAACAATGTACTTTAAATAACAATACTTCATAATTTTTGTAGATTAAATTTTCTGTTTGAATTTCGCGCTTTAAATTGTACAAGATTGCGGCAGCAGTCAATTAGCTAACTTCAATTGCTTCAAATGTCAAGAGATTTTTGTGAATGAACTTAATTTCGCGTTAATTAAGAGTTTTTAATTAAATCCTTGATTAGTTTTAATTAAATTGTGCATAAAATCGTTTAATTAAATCTGTAGATCAATCTGACATAAAAAATATATCGTGCAACATTTGTAAAAAGTTAAAAAAAATGGATATGTGTGGAAATGCATATGTGTACCTTGAATAGTAATAATTATCTCTTTCAGGACCCCCATTTCGAATCAATATTATAATTAAACCTTTTACTTTCAGTGCTGATGTATCCTTTATCTATATATATGCAATTAGCAATTGTATAATTTATATATGAATGTGTATACTTTTGTAGGTTATGGTAGCACATTTCCACATATCTATTTAATCAATTTTAAGTTCACAAAAGTCTCTAATGTAAGTCGTGTCTCGCGTGTTTCGTAGAGAGTTTACTCGGACAATTGTAAAATGTCAAATAGACTTGTAAAAGACAAAGTTATGTAGTGGTTCTAAAGTAGTGATATTGTGTCGAGTACTTGAGATTTCTGGCAGATGCTCCAGAGGTGGTTCCAGTAATGACCCAATGTTTTGGCAGCTGCTGCAGAGGATATTTAACAATGTAAGTGCAAAGCATGTTTTATACATAGCGAGTCAAAGAATATTTTTCTAGAATTATATACAGGTATTTATCGTACTATATCTGTTGCACCTATAGTGTTTTCAATATTCAATATTTAACTTATATATATATATATATATATATATATATATATTTATATATATATATATAAATATATATTTATATATGTATTAAGTAATATATATATATATATATTATATATATATATATATATATATATAAATATATATATATATATATATATTAAGTTTTTCTTAATTTTGAATTTAAAGCAGTCAAATGATTTTGAAAATCTTTACTTCAACACAATATTGTTTGTCATCTTTAGTGAAACTTTAATTTTAATAGAAATTCATAAAAAGATATTACTTTTAATTTATGTTCTGAAAGGAGTAGCAATTATTGACCGAGTTTGTGTTACATGCTACTTTTTATGTTTGTAACAATAATATTTCTTATTAATTATGTATTTAATGCTTGTTTTTTATATTAAATGAAATTAATAAATGAAAATTAGTTTAAAGGTGCCTTGAGAACTTGTCACTTTGTTATTCAATATCATTTATAAAGCAGTCTGTATATATTTTAGTGGAATATTTTCTGGCTCGTGCATTATTAATATACACCTAAGTCTGTTTTTACACGGTTTTGATATAACACGGTTTGAAAATTGAATATTTTCAATTTTTCTACACGATTTTATTCCATTTAGCACGATTTGAAATTTTATGTACTTAAATTTATTTGTCAAATTTAATTTTTGCGAAGTATGTTCATATCACAAAAAAGTATTTATGAAAGAAAAAAGTCTGAAACCATCGATAGTATCGATAGTTTGCGAACACTAGCTTAAAGATTTTAGTGAATTCCCCTTTAGCGCGTACAAACAATTTTTACTGGTCAAAGCAAATGTTTAGATAAACATGAATTCTTGTTCTTAAAAATTCTTGTTTTTCACTAATTTTAATAGGTTTTAGAGATTAGGAACAAAACACCCATTTTTGTATAAGATCAATGTCTTTTTTACACGTTTTTTTTTTTACACGGCTTCTTCTGGAACCAATTTACCGTGTAAAAACAGACTTAGGTGTAATTATATACATATATCTGCTGAAAATATAGTTTATATCATAATATACAAGTCAATATCATTTTTTACATAGTATACCTTATACAATCTATTTTTTGTTTATTCAACAACAACTATTATGGGAATAAAAGATTTTAAATTAATTTGGCAGACATATGTGTAAAAGACTTAAGTTCTTATTTAATTTGTTATGGGGAAAACATGTTGATTCAGTTTTTTTTCATTTATTTATTCAAGTGCATTTTATACTTGTTTTAAATATATATAAAAGAGAAAAGTTTCTATTTCTCTTATGTATCAAAGATGCTGAATAATCATAATAATATTTCACTAGAGATTCTTTTGCTCTATAAATAACACTATGAACTGATTTTGTGTGGAATTCAGAATTTTTATATGAATATTAAATTTTTGCTACCAAATTATTAGTTAACTAATACAGCTTTTTGTAAGCATCGATTACTTATTTGCTGAAGGGGTCCTAGCATCCTTCCTTAGGTAACACCTAAATTGATGGTATTTTGTTACAAATTACAAATTTACTTTGTTACAAAAATCTCTTTTTTATCACACTTGTTCATTATTATACAGAAAAAATATTTGTATTTGTATTTGACATTTCCAGTATCAAGAATCATGTGTTTTCCCTGTAGCGACATTGTCTGCATGTACATTCTTATTTATGGATAACACGATTGCTGGTTTTGATCAAAATATTTTAAATACTCAATACAACTTACCAAATTGTTAATTAAATGCAGCTTTTGAAAGTCTTTTACAGTAGTTTAATTTTAAATTTATTCAATTATATTGCTGCATAGCTAAATGATAGATTTTTATTCTTTTATTGATAAAAACAATTTTGATCAAGACATGCAATCAAAGTTTCAAAGAGTTGACTTGAATGATTAGATAAAACATAATTTTGTTTTAACAAGTTTATTATTCGATTCAAGTTGTAAAAATTATTTAACTCAATTTCTAAAGGATAACAATCAGATTTAAACAGTTTTGATGTAGTTAATGTTCACATTTGAATATTTTTTATTAATTCATTTTACAAGTTTTATTAAATTTCTTTTTTGGCTTTTTCCAATAATTTGTATATTATTCAAGTCAGCTATATTTGTTTTTTTGTCTCGATTAATTGTAAAGGTTTCACATGTTTTATCAAGTCGTATAAACGATTTTAATTCGATTAATA